AGCTTACTTATGATATTAATGCAAAGGTTAAAGGGGAAAACGTTATTTTCAAACTTGATATTACTGAAGCCTATGATAATCTCAACTGGAGTTTTCTTTATGCTGTTTTATCTTTATTTGGATTTAATGATAATTTCATTTCGCTTATAAAAAATAGTATTGAAAATTGTTATTTTTCTGTTATTATTAACGATATGAATCATGGCTTTTTTAAATCTTCCAAAGGTTTAAGGTAAGGTGATAAAAATTCTCCTACACTTTTCATTATTGCGATGGAATATCTTTATAGGGGTTTAGATAATTTATATGTGAGAAACCCTAATCTAAATTTTCGCACTATAAGGGGTTTCCCTATATCGCATCTTAGCTTTGCTGATGATTTTATCTTGTTTTCTAATGGCTCTATTAGTAACATAAACGTGTTAATCAATTTCCATATCAATTTTGATGACCAAAGTGGCTTAGCTATCAACAAAGACAAAAGCACGTTTATTATGGGCAATTCTATTAACAAATCAGAATTAATGTTATTCAAAGAGTTTGTGGTTTCCATTCTAAGAACTTGCCCATAACTTATTTGAGCACTCCCATTTATAAAGGCAAAAAGAGGAAATTTCTTTTTGAAGATATTTTTACTAAATTTCAGAAAAAATTGTCTAATTGGTCTTCAAATTTTTTGTCTTATGGTGCATGGAAGACTGATTCTGATCAAATCTGTGTTAAATTATATCCCTATTTATCTGTTTCATACTTAACTTCCTTCGGTTTCTACTTGCACTAGATTAGAGAGGATGATAAACAATTTTTTTTTTGGGTTCTAAGTATAATAGCAATGGTATATGTTGGTCTTCTTGGAGTAAGATCTGTGGAGTGCTGAATGAAGGGGGTTTAGGTTGCAAAAATTTGTTTGATACTGCTAAAACTTTTTCCCATAAATTATGGTTTTCTTTTAGATCTAATAGCAGTTTATGGGCTCGATATATGAATGTTAAGTATTGCAATAATATGCATCCGACTTTACATTTTTACAAAAATATTGATTCTATGATATGGAAAAGATTGTGTAATATAAAATGGGAAGCAGAACAGTTTATTCAATGGGGCTTGGGAAAATGTGATGTTTTTTTCTGGCAAGATAACTGATTGGGGCCTTCTTCTATTGATTCTTTCCATAATACGCACTCGATTGAAAATGTTAAAGTTTCAAATTTTATTACTAATAATAGTTGGAACGTCACTAAGCTTAGGGAGGTGGTTCCTTCAGCTTTAGTGGAGATTATTTTAAATATTCCCTTACAAAGTCAATGCAAAGATAAAATGTTTTTCACGCTTTCTTCTTCTGGTAAATTTCAGTTGAAAGATGTTTGGAAAACTTTTAGAATCAAAATTGAAAAATCGCTTTTTTCTGCTATTTAGCATAAGAACTACCCAATTTCTTATTCTATTCTTGTTTGGAGATGTCTTAAAGATTATCTTCCGGTCGATGTTATGCTTCAGAAAAAAGGCTTTAACCTTCCTTCCAAATGTTTGTGCTGTTCTAATGTGGAGAGTATTGATCATCTTTTTGTCAGTGGTAATATTGCCCATAAAGTTTGGTCTTATTTCAATAGTCTTGCCAATAAAATTTTTATTACTCAGCATAATAATGTCTTTTCTATTTTAGAGCGTTGGGTGCATGCTTCTAAAGGTCATATTTTTAATATGATTACTATTCTTATTTTATGGTATATTTGAAAAGCTAGAAATGAGGCTAAGCATAATGATATCAAAATGGATGCTTCTCAAATCATTTCGAATGTCAGACATAAAATTTTGCAACTCTATTCCTACAATTTAGTTTTTGTTAAGAACTTTCAAATTTGCATGGATATGGCTACTGCTTTTAGCATTCCAACGAGTTTTGGGGCTATAAATTCGGTTGATAAGATTGTTAAGTGGATTAAACCCAAACCACCTTATGTTAAGCTTAACACGGATGGGTCTGTTGGGCCTAACGGTGTTGGTGCGGGTGGCATTATTAGGGATCACCTGGGGTGTGTTCTTGCTGCTTATGCTGCACCTTTACAGTGTTCCAATGTTATTTCGACTGAGCTTATGGAATTATATTATGGCTTGGAAATCTGTATCAAGATGGGTATTGATTTTGGGTGGATTGAGGTGGATGCTATGTCCTCAAAACTTTTATCTTATTAGGAAAATTAAGATTTCCCTTGCCTCTATCAATTATTATATTTCTCACAATTATCGGGAAGCAAACATATGTGTGGATTGGTTAGCAAAAAAGGGTTGTTATATTAATAATTACGAGGAGTTTGATATCCGGAGATTACACCCAATGTTGAAAGGTATGATTAATTTTGATAAAGCTGGCTTACCTTATTTGCATAATGTTTTATAGGTTTACTTTTTTGGCTGGTTGGCACTTTTTTTGTTCTTTTTTAAACTATAGATGGTGGTATCTGTGGAAGTGACAGGTTTTCTGCTTATTTTGTTGTTTCTCCTTCTCTTTATGGAGATGGATTCGGTGGAGGTTTTTGTATTTTTTCTGTCTGTGCTTGCATTCGTTGGATAATGACTATGTTATTTTCTTTTGGGCCTTCAACATTCATGGCATTGATAATCTGGATCCTTTTGATGTGTCTGTTTATGTTTATTTTGATTTTATGTGGACATGTGTCTGGGGCCATAAATGGTATTTTAATTTTTTTATTGTTTGGGGCTTAGATTCTCAGCTCTCTGCTGAGATGGAGGGTTTTCTTACTTTTTGATGGAGGTTTTACATTACTGATCCTAACTGGTGGTGTTTTTGGGGTCAAAACTGGATGGTTACTATGGCTGGTATTTGGGGCTATGTTTCTAAGTTGCTCTAGGTCTATGACCTGCTGGGGACTTTTCCTCCTTTCTTCCATGATCTGTTGGGGAGTTTTTTGTGCTATAATCTGGTGAGAAAGTTGCTATGGTTGCTGAATGTCCAAACCTTTGTAGATTATAAGTTCTTTGATGGCTGCTCGATTACTGATTTTGACTGGGTCATTGGCATTCTCTTGTGTCTTTTTAACTATATTCTCACTCTTTTAGTCTGTAAGTTTTTTGTTTGTAGGTTTTTTGGGTGGATGCTTATTTCTGTTGATTCTTCGGACGCTCAAGCCAATTTTGCTACTTACGGATCGGTCATCATTTTTTGCAGGAAGTTCGTGCTGAATGTTGATCCCTTGTTCTTCCTTTTTTGGATGCTGTCTTCTTGCTGCTCTAGTATGTTATTAGGTTTTTTGTAACTTTTAGTATAAGGAACCACCAGTTATGTTTTATTTTGTTTTATTTTGTAGCTGTTTTGAGCATTAGTAAGCTAGAGGTTCCTTTTAAGGATCTTGTAACCCTTTTTTTTGTATTAACGTGTAGGCCCCTCCTAATAGCGTTGTTTTGTGCAGATTTTAATGACTCTTTTTTTCCTATATTATTGCTTACACAAGATTAATTTGTCATTTGAGTTTGAATTCAATAGAAAGGAGATTGTTCTTTAAAATAAGAATTAAATTTGTTCCAAAATAATTATAAAGCCACAGGAAATTTATTCTATAAAACTTTTTTTTTTTATGAAAAAGCTCTTTGTGAAAAACTTGAATTTGTATTTGAATTTGAAATCCCCTTGGGAAATGAATAGCAAAATTCAACGCATTTAATGGAAAGCTTGGAAGCATAGAAAATCGTTGAAGTGTTCCCATGAAAAGAATTTGAATTTGAAGTCCCCTTTAGATTTGAATTGCTGAAATTGTCTGGAATTGAATTGCCATTATGCTCATTAAAAACTTCCTGCAAATGGAACAAATCTTCTTTAATCTTCCTCCGATAACTAGGAAGATGAAAAAATTTGTTCTTATTCTTTGCTGTCTTTGAAGAATCATGATGAGAAGATCTTGAAGCAGTGGAAGGTTCAGAATTACGAAAGAGATTTATTTAACTTTCTAGACAAATTTGCAGAATGAATATCGATTGTTCAAGGGATCACATTAACATCTAGTATATGAAAACTTCTAAATGGATGTTGGCCTTCCTATTTGTTTCACTTGTAATTGTGCCTAAACATGGCTATTCCCACTTCTCATTACACTCCATGTCCATCCATCTCAGCATTCTGCATTTCCTTTGATATAATTTTTATTAGGAATTAAAAGAATGTACAAGATAATGAAGAATAAGAATGACAAGAGAAGAGGAAGAAGGGAAAGAGACTCACATCGAAGAAGGTCTAGCCGGGATGGGTCTTCGCGTGAGGAGAAGAGCAAGCAAGACGTGAGCGGGATGCGCAAGCGGAATGTGCCAGCGGACGGGCTTAATGGCTTGTGTGCTCCTATGACAGCAGCTACGACGCTCGGCATTGGTTCACTCCACTAGGACTTGAGTCACGGATGCACGCACGAAAGAAGAGGGGAGAAGGAAAAGACGATGTCTGGCATATAAGATTGGGATTTTGGAATTAGAGATTCGGTTTATAATTGCACCAGTTAAACCAAAACCAATGTTAAAATATAATTTTGTCAATGATTTTAAAACACTCTTAACAACTGCTTAGAAAAATATTATTCTTTGGTAGTGTATATGTATTATATTTAATGCATTATATTAATGCCTTACATCTCTTATTTATATGTACGATTGCTCTCCATATAATATAATATTAAGACATAAAACCCTCTTACTTTCGGGATTGGCAACGGGTTCCAAAAAAAATTATAAGAAAAAATAAAATCAAATCGTACATCAAAAGTTTCCAAGCATATATAAAGAAATCTCAGCGCCAAGCATATGTAGCTCAGAAGTTAGATTAGAGAAGAGAATATTACTTCTTGAAATTTAAAAAAATCGAGATACATTTTATAATTTATCACTCAACATTAAAAAAAAAATTCTGAATGAAGATAAGCATCAATGCTATAACGTTACCAATTGTTTAAAGGTTTCTTGCAAAATTTGGTCTGAGCTTTGTCGTCGGCCATCTTTTACAGCCAATGCTCTGACTTTTATCATTCAAATGCACCAACAAGCATCGGGTCATATCAGCCAAACAATACGTCGAATTAGTCTTCAAATCCTGTACTTCGTGGCAAATGGCAACGTCGTGCATGTTGCACCACCAAGCCTTTGCAACTATAAGTAGAAGAGGAGAGGAGAACAACAATGGCGTCAACGAAGTAATAACAAGCCATGATACCTCTCATCCTCCTCCTCCTATCCTCGACCCTTCTTGTTTCCTCCGCCACCGCCACCGCCACACCGCTCCAATCCTTTATCCAATGCTTCACCAACAAGACCAATTCCCCTAACCTCCTCTCCCTCCCCAACACCGCTTCCTACAGCTCCGCACTCCTCTCCTCCGTCCAAAACCAACGTTTTCTCATCTCACCAAACTCCTTTAAGCCATCTCTCATTGTCTCTGCTGCCTCTCCATCACATGTCCAAGCCACCGTAACCTGCGCCCGCGTCGCTGACCTCCGTATTCGCACACGCAGCGGCGGCCACGACTATGAAGGCATGTCTTACTCCGCCTTCACCGGCCCGAACACCACACCCTTCATAATCCTCGACATCGCCGCTCTCCGTTCGATATCCATCGATGCAAGCTCAAAAACCGCTTGGGTTCAAGCCGGCGCAACGTTAGGCGAACTATACTATGCCATCGCTAAAAACAACAAAAATTTAGCCTTTCCCGCCGGCCTCTGCCCGACTATCGGTGTAGGTGGTCACCTAAGCGGAGGAGGGATCGGTACTTTGACGCGAAAGTACGGTGCCTCCGTTGACAACATCGTCGACGCGTGGCTTGTCGATGTAAATGGTCGCCTCCTCGACAGGAAGGCTATGGGGGAGGATCTTTTTTGGGCTATCCGTGGTGCTGGTTCAGCGGGATACGGCGTCATCGTCGCCTTCAAAGTCAACCTCGTAGACGTCCCATCGGTGGTGACGGCTTTCAACGTTGGCAAGACGTTGAGGCAGAACGCCACCAAACTGGTGGCGCGGTGGCAGGAACTGGCGCACCAGTTTGATGTCAATCTCTTCATCCGAGTAATAGCTCAAGCCGGCAACGACACAGATGGGAGTAAAACGATTCAAGTTACATTCAACTCATATTACCTTGGGCGGAAGGAGGAGTTGCTCCCCTTAGCGCAGCAGAGCTTTCCAGAGCTTGGTTTGAAGGCTACCGACTGCACTGAAATGAGCTGGATTGAGTCAGTTTTGTTCTTCTATGGTGGCACAGGAAAGCCATTGGAGACACTGTTAAATAGAACTCCGGAGTTCAATAGCTCTTTTAAGGCAAAATCGGATTTTGTCCAGCAACCAATAACAGAGAATGGGTTAGAGGAGATTTGGAATTTTCTGATGGGTGCAAAGGATGAGCCTTTGGTGCTTATATTTGAGCCTATGGGTGGGAGAATGAGCGAGATAAAGGAGGACGCTGTTGCTTTTCCTCATAGAGGTGGGAACATTTATAACGTGCAGTATTTCATGAGGTGGTTTGAGACGCAGGAAGGTGTGACAGAGAAGCATTTGGAATGGATGAGGAAGATGTATGGGTTCATGACGCCTTATGTGTCGAGCAAACCGAGGGCAGCGTATTATAACTACAAGGATATTGATCTGGGGAGGAATGTGGAGGGGAACGGGACGAGTTACTTGGCAGCTAGGGTTTGGGGGACGAAGTATTTTAAGGGGAATTTTAGGAGGTTGGCAAAGGTGAAGGGAATGGTGGATCCAGCAAATTTCTTCTGGAACGAACAGAGTATTCCTGTACTTTAGACAGAGGATCCGAACAGATCTCTCTGTTAGGTGACCTGATGCAATAATTTGCCGTACTTTAGGGCGTCGATTTGATCGACGATGGATGAAAGAAAGGGTGAAGAAGTTGAAATAAATGATTTGTTTGTGCACTATTCAAATCAAGGTTAAGAACTCAATTAAGATTTTCATAATGCCATTTGGATTACTTGTAATTTTTATTTTATTTATGTTTTAATATGAAATAAGATATATTTTATATATTAGAAATATATTGTTTTTATTTTTTGAATAAGTTAATTTATGTGATATTGGGGATGTCACTAGTGATAGCTGTGATTAGGGGTGTAGATGAATTGAGATGAGTCGAGTATATGCTTAATCGAGCTAAGCTCGAACTTGATTTGAGCTCATTTACTGAGCTCAAAATGGCTCATTCAAAAATTGTTGTGCTCAAGCTCAACTTGATTACTTGAGCTCGTTTGAAAAGTTCTAGCTTGACTTAAGAAATAATTACAAATATTTAATATTTGCTTTATTATACTATTCTGAAATTAATTTTGTAATATATTTTGATTTAAATGAGTGGCTTGACAAGCTTACGAGCCGAGCCAGGCTGAGCACAAGCTTGAGCTCATATACTATATGTGCTCAAATAGAGGTTCGAGCTTAAATTTATGGCCAGAGAAGCTTGGCTCGTGTGCCCATTAACAATTCTAGTTCGAGCCAGCTTGTGAGTCGACTCGGCTCACTTACCAATAACAGTATAGTCAATATGAATGTTAAAAGAAAATCAACTTCATATGCATTTGGATTTACAATTTTTGCAAAACATGTTCTAAGTGTCACTATTTTAATAGGATAATTCCATACTTCAAAGCAAGAGTTAAACCATGAGGTAGAGGGTAAATTACTGTATCCAAGCAAAAGATAATGTCTCTTTAGAGGAAATCCTACAAGATAATTATCAAGTGGTCCATGAAAAGAATGAATGAGCTCAAATGTGGTAACATGTACAAGTGAGGAATCAGGGAAAGGTATATATGACCTAATTAAGATTTTATGGATTCATCATCTTGGTCTTCAGGCTTAAAAGTTACTTATTCATAAATTCTGGTTTTTTTTTTTAAATTTATTTGATTTTTTCTTAAAAATAAAAGATAAAAATAATTAATAAACATAAAAAAATATATATATTAAAAAAATAAAAACAAAAAATACAATTGATATCAAATAGGTCCATAGTGCAGATGTTTTTTGTAAAAGTTTAAAATGGTGGCAAATAAAATTATATTAAAATGGTTTAATGCAATATTTTTCAAATGAATAAAGATATTTTTCATGTCTGTACTGAAGAATCAATGCCAATAGGAGAATTTATTATTGCCATGACTATTGCATGCCAATACAACTCATTTTAAACCTTTCACATTTTTCATTGACCTATCATCTCATTTATGAGTATCACAACTTCCATAATTTTTGTTTATACAAAGTCAGATTTGTACATACTATAAAAAAGGACTTTATATTAAACGATATTTTTGAATATGGTAATGGACAATTTTTTTTTTTTTTGTGAATAATTTCATTGTTGCAAAATTTGCAACAAAGATAGGGCGATAGCTCATGGTGCAATCTTTTTAGGCTTCATTTGTGGTGGCTTTCTTGCAGCTTCTTAAAGCAGCTTTCTAGTACAAATATTAAAAATTTTATACTAAAAAGTTACTTTAAGAAATAATAAGAACGCCGTCCCAAATGAAGTCTTAATCTCAAGGGGTTTCTTTGGTGAGAATTATTGATGTTAAGCACCTTGTGAAGATTAAGATTTCATTTGGGACGACTTTATTACTGCTTCTTAAAATATTTTTTAGCATAAAAAATTATTAAACTAAAAAATGTTGTACAAAAAAATTACTTTAGAAAATAATAAGAAAACTGTCTCAAATGAAATCTGAGTTTAATCTCAGCATTTAGACATGGACACCCCACTGTGATAGTCAAACTTGATAGGTTCAACTATCGATTTAAAATTGCTTTAGAAAATAATAAAAAAACTGTCTCAAATCAAATCTGAGTTGAATCTCTTCATTTAGACATGGACACCACTGTGATAGTCAAACTTGATAGGTTCAACTATAGATTTCATAGGGTCATGACACCATAGGACCTCATCCAACTAAAAATGATCAACTGGTTTGAGTTTGATATTATAAATGGTTTATTTTTCCATATAACTATAGAATATATGATAAAAATGCAAACACTTTGAGAATAAGATAATATCTGTGTTGGAATGATGAAGGATAGATGATTTTGATGAGGAATGATGAGTGTCAGTCGTTGATAATAAGTTAATGACATAGGGGTAAGGAATAGAAGGTGAGGTATGATGGACAATAAAGATCAATGCACTAAAGTATCTTAGCTTTGACATCCATTGGTGTCAGTTGGTGTTTGGCATCAAGAGATGTGTAAAATCAATCAATATATATTTTTTAAGAGGGTTTTTTCGTTATTATCCTATTATATTCTTCATTTATATCAATAATGAATTAACTAGATTACACATGTTGCGTCATAGAGTATTCGCGATGGTAGAGAAATATATAGTTTAATGTGTTAGCTGTGTACAAAGATCTAGCACATAAGCAGATAAGAAAGAGTGTAGCATTCATAAGAGACACCAGAGTTTTTATGTGGAAACCCCTGAAAAGAGGGAAAAAATCTCTGAGCCTGACCAGTTTGAATGAATCCACTAGTATTTGGAGTCGATTATAAATGAGGTCCTTTTTAGGGAGATGGCCTTGGCTTGATGTCACAAATATACGTCATATAGAGCGCATTACATGGTAGGAGTTACAATAATCAACATATACATATTTGTTTGGTTTGAAGGGCCATATTCAGCATGAGGCAGGGGTCCGAAAGGCCGTAGTTGGCAGGAGATCGAGGTTAGAAAGATTGTTGTCTGGTGATAGAGGTCAGAAGGACTATAGTTGGCAGGAGACAGGGGTTCGAACGACCATAGTAGGCAAGAGATCGTAGAAAGACCATTGTTTGGTGATGGAGGTCGAAAGGACTATAGTCGACAGGAGACAGGGGTCCAAAAGATCTTAGTAGACAGGAGACTGGGGTCATAAAGACCGTTGTTTGGTGATAGAGGTCAGAAAGACCATAGTCGGCAGGAGATAGGGGTCCGAAAGACCGTAGTAGAAGGGCGGTACTCCGGAAGAACTTTTGGGATTCAACTGCTGGCTGGGTAGAAGTCAGAGTCTTAGGTTATGGTCCGGTAGAATCCTGGCCTCAAGTGGTGTTCCGACATAAGTCCGGGACTTAAATGGTTGTCCGGTAGAACTCCGGGCATCATGTGGTGGCCTGGTACAACGGAAGTTCGGGCCTCAGGTGATGGCTGGGTGGAGTACAGGGGCTCAAGTGGTGCTCCGGCAGAAGACCGGGCCTCAAGTGATGGTCTGGCAGAAGTCATGGCCTCAAGTGGTGGTCCGGTAGAACTTTGGGCCTTAGGTGGTGGTCTGGCAGACGTCCGGGCCTCAGATGATGGCCCAGCAGAAGTCCGGCCCTCAGGTGGTGGTCCTGCAGAAGTCCGGGCCTTAGGTGGTTGTCTGGCGAAGTCCGTGCCTTAGGTGGTGGTCTGGCAGAAGTTTGGGCCTCAGGTGGTGGTCCGGTGGAGCACAGAGCCTCAAGTGGTGGTTCGACGGAAGTCCGTGCCTCAGGTGGTGGTCCGACGAAAGTCTAGGCCTCAGGTGGTGGTCTGGTAGAAGTCCGAGCTTCAGGTGGTGGTCCGGCAAAAGTCCGGGCCTCATGTGGTGGTCCGGTGGAGCACAGACGGTGGTCGAGGAGGAGCGAGTAGGCAAGAGCGATCTTCGATCTCTCTCTTGCTCTCTTTCTTGGAGCCCCCTTTTCAAGAGAAAGGAGGGTTCTATTTATAGATTTCTAGAGTGGCATGGTCCGTAAATAGGTGAGAGATCAAGGGTAAATGGGGAGGGTTGGATGGACGGCCAATATTGAATCCCTTGATTGTGGATCATTCGTCAGACATTTGAAGGTCTTAGTGATGATAGAATTCAGCAATCTTGGGTTCGTTGAATTTGACTCGTAGAGGCGCTCGATTCGACTATAAGCACATAATGTTTGGAAATCGTTTGGTAATCCAAATTGTGGTTCAAACCTTCAAACAGTGATTTGGGTCCTTGATTTTGCCACATTTGGGCTCAGATTGAGTCGAATTTGGTATTGTTGGGTTTGTATTTCTGAGACGTTCAGTTTGACTGTAAGTTTGCTGAAATCGAAGTTTGGATGGTCCCAATTTTAATTTCAGAAGTTTCCAACTTGATTTTGAATTGAGATTCATGCCCGAGCAAGATAATTTTTTGATGACGTATCAACACCCATATTAGATTAAAAATTAACTAGATAATTACGTTAGGTGTAATTTGAATTATTGCTTGGTCCATGTTAAGCATGGTGGTCGACAACTATGATGCAATGATGGACGTCATTAGTGAAATCTTTAATTGAACAATTAAATTATCTCTATCCATATATCATGATTGTGATGAAGTTAATAGATTAATAACCTAAGAGTCATATTGTCCAAAACAAGTCTTGGATAGCAAATAATATTTCACTTTTAATAAAATGTTATGATGATAAGACACAAAAAAATAAAATGATTTGTTTACCTTTTGAGAATGATCCAATCCTAATATTTTAAGGAATAAATGTAATATTTACAAAAATAGTTAATATGAATTGTTGCATGGTGAAAATTTTATGGTAGTGGAGAAAAAGAGAATTTATGTCTTAGCATTGTACAAAGATTCCATAAGAATAAAGATAAGTCAAGATCAACTCATAAGAAACATAAATATTTACATGAAAACTGTAAAAGGGAAAAACCAGAAAGCTTGCCCAAATTGAAACAACTCCATTAGTGTATATTACAAGTTATAAATGATGCTCTTCTTCATGGTTAGGGAAGATATTAATACAAGATAGTAAACACAAATTGTGGATGATAAATACCATGTTGAAATTTAGAGGAGTTTTTAGGCATGGGAGATATCTTTAAAAGATTATTTGTGGTATGTTCGATCATTCTCATTTGAGGAGAGGAGAGAACAGATCAAGAAGTTTATCATAAATCTTGGAATTGATGTTGAGAGGCAGAGTTAGTGTCAAAAGTGTGCATGGGTCTTATTGGCAATAATAAGCATCAATATTGTTGGTGATAATTGGTGATAAAATCAGTGAGCATTGGCATTAGAGTCGATGACATGCATGCATCTCCTTATACATGTTGACATGCGTCAATATTGTTGGCAATAATAAATGGCAAAGTCAACAAGGGTTGGTATTTATGTCGATAGATGTATTGGCTATATATGTGATAGTATGTGTCAAAGTAATTGGCCAAGGCTGGTGACAAAGCCGACATGCTTTGAAGTTTATGTTGACAACAAACATTGGCCTTATAAGAAATGATATGAGTCAACATTGTTAGTGATGATGACATCATTTTTTGTGTTAATGACATACATTGATCTTATAGGTCATGATGGTGTGCATTGATATTATTGGTAATGCTAGGAAACAAAGTCAATGGATTCCAACAATAGTGTTGATGGTGTATATTATTCTTATAGGCATTTGTGTGAGTCAACAATAGTGCTAATGTTAACAATAACTGATAATGAATTAAGCTAGCATGGGTGTTAGTGTTACAAAGAGTTTTAGCATTGGTATCAACTATATGCATCAATTTTACTGGCGATGATGTACATCAACATTATTAGTGATGGTGAGCAATAAAATAAACAAACAGTTAATTTTATGTCGATAGCATGCATTGATCTACTAGGTGATGGAGAGCATATATCAACATTGTTGGTGATAGTGGATAATAAAGTCAATAAATGTTGGCATTTGTGTCAATGTTATGCATCATCCTTATAAGCAATGCTATACATTGACATTGATGGTGATGATGAGAGACAAACCCATCGAGCATTAGTGTTAGTATTGACTATGTGCTTAAGCCTTATAAGTGAAGATGTGTGTTAATATTTTAGCTAGAGGGGTTTGTCAGCATTTGCATTGACGACATTTATTGGGATTATATGCAATGGCAATTTTCGATGGTGTTGACGATGACTAACAACAACTTTAAGAGGCATTAATATTTGTGTTGACGGCTTGTATTGACCTTATAAATGATAGTACTCAATAATGGTTGAGAGACTATATTCATGGGGTAATTGTCAAGAGACTATCATTGGACAACACTTATCAATAGATTATAGTCGATCAACATGTTATGGGAGATCGTAGTAGTGCGGTGGTGATTGGATGATGGTGGCTAGATGATGCTTATTACTAAAGGTGCTCATCGATATTGATTGTCAAACTTGACTCTTAAATTCTTCAGATCTTTAAGTTCTATCACAATTATTTTCATGTTCCTACTACTAGAGAGTATATTCCTAGGGGAGCAAAGAGAATAAAGACAAAAATCCCATTCCTTCGTTGATTTCTCCACGTTGCTTGAACTTTGGTAGGAACCTGTTGAGCCTGTGGTTGCCTTCTAGGTATTGTAGTGGGCTTAAAAACTTATCAAAAATTTTGTAGTGATGTCAAAAGTTGACACGACCCGAAATCAAATCTAGAAAAATATGGGTTCAGGTTAACCTATTTGTAAGACACATTGAGCCTGAGTTCACATTTCTAATCCTCTTGAAAAATAGGTCGGGTTCGGGTTGACCTGAAAACCTAATGTTCACCCGGCAAACCCGGATCCTGCGTGATGACCTAGCCCAGTTCCATGCCTCACGAAACTGTGCCCTAATGCTTGCAGAAGTTCGGGTCGAGGCTTGCCTTGCCGTGCTCGGGTCCAACCCTAGCTCCAGTAGGTTCTTACATGGCTGCCTCACAGCCCTCAGGTAGAGTGACTCGAGCCTTGCCTCAGACGATCCGACTTCGTGGAAGTTGTGCGCAATTGCAGCCTACCAGGTTGAGCACTCAAGCCCTTTCTTCGCCTCACTGAGCTCACTTCGACTCTTCGATTGACCGACTCAGACTGTGTTCGGTTCGGCAAACGGCGTTCCTCAATGGAAGGCAGACTGGTTTGTGGGTCGGGTCAACCTGGTTACCCGTGCGAGTCGAGTTTGGTTTGAAAATCTTGACACGTTTAGCTAAACGGGTTAGGTTTGGATCAACCAGTTTTGGCCGAGGTCAACTCGGGTTGGACTCAAACCCGACCTGTTGAGTGGAATTGACACCTCTAAAATTTTGATTGGAGCAAGAGGGGAAGAGTGGCAATGAGAGCGTGTCAAGAATGATGGACAAAAGACAAAAGGCTATGAATCATTTAGTGTGATGATATGATAATGGGATTCTAATAGAAAGATACTTTTAAAATTTTATTTTAATATTTTGAATAATATATTTCACCCCTAAATCATAAATTAATAACTTTCCTGGTTTTCCCAAAAAAAAAAAATTCCCTAGACAGATTTACCAAGATTTGTTGTCACATTCACTCATCACTTCATTTAGACTAAGACATTATTTACTGAAAACCACTAAGGTGTCAGTTCAGCTCAGCCAATAAAATCTCAAGTTTGTCAATTAAAACCCAATACTTTTCAGCAATGATATAAGGCATGAACGGAGCTCTTTCTCTCTACCCAAGAAAAAAAAAAAAATAAAAAGTCATGGTCCCTCTTCTCCTCATCCTATCATCATCCCTGCTAATTTCCCCAACCAGCTCTGCACCCGTCCACTCCTTCATTCAATGCTTCACCAATCAAACCAACTCCCCTAACCTCCTCTACCTCCCCAACACCTCTTACTTCAACTCCGTCCTCCTTTCCTCCGTCCAAAACCAACGCTTCCTCCTCTCACCAACCTCCACTAAGCCATCTCTCATCGTCTCCGCCACCTCTGCATCCCATGTCCAAGCCACCATCATCTGCGCCCGCGCCTCCAGTCTCCGCCTCCGCACCCGTAGCGGCGGCCATGACTATGAAGGCATGTCTTACTCCGCTTTCAAAGGCCCTAACTCCACTCCCTTCATAACCCTCGACATCTCCGCTCTCCGTTCCGTATCCATCGACACAAGCTTAAAAATCGCTTGGGTTCAAGCTGGCGCAACGCTAGGCGAACTGTACTACGCCATCGCCCAAAACACCAAAACTCTAGCCTTTCCAGCAGGACTATGTTCAACGGTTGGCGTAGGTGGTCATTTGAGCGGAGGTGGGATCGGCTCTTTGGCGCGGAAGTACGGTGCCTCCGTCGACAATATCGTAGACGCTTGGCTTGTTGATGTAAATGGCCGCCTCCTCAACCGGAAGACGATGGGAGAGGATCTTTTCTGGGCGATCCGAGGTGCTGGCTCTGCGGGATACGGCGTCATCATCGCCTTCAAAGTCAATCTTGTAGCCGTCCCACCAAAAGTGACAGTTTTCAACGTGGACAAGACGTTGAGACAAAACGCCACAAAAGTCGTGGCACGGTGGCAAGAATTGGCTCACCAATTCGACGTTAATCTGTACATCCGAGTAATAGCTCAAGCCGACACCGACGCAGATGGGAGTAAAACAATACAAGTTACATTTAACTCACTTTACCTCGGGCGGAAGGAGGAGTTGCTCCCCTTAGCACAGCAGAGTTTTCCTGAGCTTGGTTTGAAGGCTACCGACTGTATTGAAATGAGTTGGATTGAGTCAATTCTGTTCCTCTACAGCGGCGCGAGAGTGCCACCGGAGATGCTGCTGGATAGAAACCCAGAGTTCAACAGCTCTTTCAAGGCAGCATCAGACTTTGTTAAGCACCCCATAGCAGAGAGTGGGTTAGAGGAGATCTGGAAGTTTATGATGGAAGCTGAGGATGAACCGCTGGTGCTTATACTAGATCCCATGGGTGGGAGAATGAGTGAGATAAAGGAGGAAGCTCTGGCTTTTCCTCATAGAAATGGGAATATTTATAACGTGTGGTTTGAGACAGAGGAAGGAGTGACGGAGAAGCATTTGGAATGGATGCGGAAATTGCAGCGATTCATGGCGCCTTATGTGTCGAGCAAACCGAGAGCAGCGTATTATAATTATAAGGATATTGATTTAGGGAGAAATGTGGAGGGGAAGGAGACGAGTTACTTGGCTGCAAGGATTTGGGGGACTAAGTATTTTAAGGGGAATTTTAGGAGGTTAGCGAAGGTGAAGGGTAGGGTGGATCCTGAAAATTTCTTCTGGAACGAGCAGAGTATTCCAGTGTTGCAGGCTTTTGGTAGCCTCAGGGAATTGTTTTGATCAAAGCTGGTTGAAGAAGATGAAAATAAAAGAAAAATCTCTCCTTGTGATGGCTTTGCAGACTCTCCTACTTTCCCTTTCAATACACTTTCAGGGGGCAGAATTTGTTTTTTAGTTATTGGGATGAATATCTTGCTTCTTGGTGTATATTGTATTTTGTGCTATAAGCCTCTACCAGGCTTCTAGCAGGAATTAATTCAGTAGTTTCTTATGAATCAGGTATGGCAACTTACTAGGTATCAGCTTGAAACTAAAACATAAAATGTGCATCTTGCCAAATGTGCTTTATGTCTATCAATTATTCATTCTATTGGAGGTGTCAAAATGGGTCGACGGATTAGGTTTGAGTTTGATGTGAAATTAACCCGACCTGAAACTAGTCAATTTGAACACTGTATGTTTAATAAACGGTTCAAAAATATCAACATGAACCTGACCCACTAAAAACACAAATGACCTCAATCTAACTTGTTAACTCATTTTAGTTATTATTATTTTTACTTATTAACTATAAAAATTATGATATTTGATTAAAAATAATAAGATTAAACCTACATGCAAAAAATAAAAATAAAAAAAAGGAAAAAAAATATTAATTTGGTTCTTTTTGGTCAAAAATGAATTTGTAGGTCAACCCGAACCCAATCCGTTTAATATACATATCAGAAAACACAACCAAAACTCGACCTGCTTATTCAATGAGTTTTAAGTTAGGTTGGTGAGTTAGGTCAATTTTTAACACCCCTACAATTCATATAGAAGATTACAAGATAGTCGACTCCTTGAATCTAAACAAAGTCCTCAGTATATATATATATATATATATTATTGATTTTGCTAAAATGATATATTTTGGATTACAAGATATTTGGCTCAAGGGTTTTTATATAGAAACCCTTAAAAAGGAGGAAAAACCACTAGGCATTGCCTAGTCTAAATGAATTCACTAATATTTGCGGTTGATTACAAAAGAGGCCTTTCCGGGGGGCGTCCTTGGCTCTATGTAGCAAATATAGATAATATAGAGTGCATTACATGGTGGGAGTTGGAAGAATCAGTATTGACACATTCATTTAGTCGGCGAGTAATGTAAGTTAGAAGGATTGTAGTTTGAATGAAGGTGATTAGAAGGATCATAGTCAGGTGATGAAGGTTGGAAAGACCGTAGTAGGGGACGTTGGTTGAAAGGACCGTCGTCGGCGGGCAAAAGAGGTTAGAAAGACTGTAGTCGAGTGATGATGATCGGAATTACCGTAGTTGGCGAGCGATGAAGGTAAAAAATATCGTAGTCATGTGACGGTGGTTGAAAGGACTGTAGTCAGGTGACGACGACCAGGGAGATCATATTCTGGAGATGGTGGTCAGAGAGACCGTAGTCGGTGGGTGGTGGAAGTCAGAAAGATCTTAGTTGAGTGATGATAGTTGGAAGGATCGTAGTTGACGAGTGAAGAAGATTTGAAAGACAGTAGTCAGGTGACGGTGGTCAGAATGATCGTAGTCAGTAAGTGATGGAGGTCAAAAAGCCTGTAGTATGGTTACAGTGTTTGGAAGGTCCGTTGTTGGGCGATAGAGGTCGAAAAGATTGTAGTCGGGTGACAGAGCTTGGAAGGATTGTACTAGCAGGTGACGGAGGTCAGAAAGACTATTGGCTTGTTATGGTCGATGTCCAAGAGAAAATTCTGTGATAATCGGTGGCAAGATGTAAGTCCAACTTCAGTTGCTAGCCTGGTGGAAGTTCGATGAAAGTCTGACGACGGTCGGTTGTCGGGTGGTGGTCGAGGAGGAGCTTGGTGGCAAGAGAGATCTCAGATTTCTCTTCCTTCTTTTTCTTCTCCTCCCCACCCTTATTTTGTCCCCCGCCCTTTAGTGAAGAATGAGGGGTCTATTTATAATTTTTTGGGAGTGACATGACTAATAAATAGAAAGAAGATCGAGGGGGTGTTTCAAATGGATGACCGATATCGACTCCCTTGATCATGGATCGTTAATTGAGTATTTAAGTGTCTTAATGATTTATTGTTTGATGATATTAGGCTTGTTAGATTTGTCTCATCGAGCTGCTCAATTTGATTATAAGCATGCCGCTTTTGGAAATCCAAAATCATTTGGGTGTCCAATTTATGGTTTGAAGCTTCCATTTGTGCTTCAGGTCCATGATTTGGACTCATTTGGGCTTGGATTGGGACGAAATTGGTGTATTTGGGTCCTTTTTTTGAGACGTTCAGTTTGAATATAAGTTTATTGAAATTAAAGTTTAGGTGGCCCTATATTTATTTTAGGAAGTTTCCCATGCAATTTTGCTTGTAATCATCAGTTATTATCAATGAAATATATAGTCAAAAAAGAAAAGCCACCAGTATTGATAGAAGTCCAATGATATGAAGTCAAGCAAACTCTACTAGTACATCTACTCAAGGTTGATTGAATATTGGCTTTCTCTCTATTGTACATCATCTTATAATCACTTTTAGCTGTGTTTCTAGACATTACTTGAAGGTCTGGGTTGAGAAAATGAAGTAATACATGTACACAACCCATTTAACATACTAAAATAGTAGACAATGCATGATAATGGCAGCAGTGAATAAACCACATAACTCTTTATGGTAAGACTTCAAGTTGGTTAAGGAAATAGGTAATCTAGAACTTGACTGCAAACTTTTACTGGCCTATATCACAAGTACTTGTCTTCTTACAAACTTACGAATGATATTAAAGTTACCAGTCCCATTCTTACTATCACACCAGTAAGTTGCACCGCATTTTGGCTTTTACATATTTGTTTACCAACAACAAGTAGATGTAACCTCAGAATGACCCCTTATAGAGGAAGTCATCCTTCTTATTTTCTTAAGAACATTTTCTTTAACATCATCATCACAAATATCAACATCATCAACATAATCTAGAACATTTTCATTAACATCATCCTTGGCTTTATGTAGCAAATATAGATAATATAGAGTGTATTACATGGTGGGAGTTGGAAGAATCAGTATTGACACATTCATTTAGTCAGCGAGTAATGTAAGTTAGAAGGATTGTAGTTGGACGAAGGTGGTTGGAAGGATCATAGTCAGCTGATGGAGGTTGGAAAGACCGTAGTAGGGGGACGGTAGTCGAAAGGATCGCCGTCGGCGGGAAAAAGAGGTCAGAAAGACACTCGATGATCGGAATGACCGTAGTTGGCGAGCGATGAAGGTCAAAAATATCGTAGTCATGTGACGGTGGTTGAAAGGACTATAGTTAGGCTACGAAGGCCAGGGAGATCATATTCTGGAGATGGTGGTCAGAGAGACCGTAGTCGGTGGGCAGTGGAGGTCAGAAAGATCTTAGTTGAGTGATGATATTTGGAAGGATCGTAGTTGGCGAGTGAAGAAGATTGGAAAGACCGTAGTCAGGTGACGGTGATTAGAATGATCATAGTCAATAAGTGATGGAGGTCAAAAAGCCTGTAGTCTTGTTACAGTGTTTGGATGGTCCGTTGTTGGGTGATAGAGGTCAAAAACAAAAAGATTGTAGTCGGGTGACAGAGCTTGGAAGGACTGTACTAGCGGGTGAAGGAGGTCGAAAAGACTATTGTCTTGTGATGGTCGATGGCCAAGAGAAAATTCTATGATAATCGGTGGCCAGATGTAAGTCCAATTACAGTTGCTGGCCTGGTGGATGTTCGATGAAAGTCTGGCGACGGTCGATTGCCGGGTGGTGGTCGAGAAGGAGCTTGGTGGCAAGAGAGATCTCAGATTTCTCTTCCTTCTTTTTCTTCTCCTCCCCACCCTTATTTTGTCCCCCGCCCTTTAGTGAAGAATGAGGGGTCTATTTATAATTTTTTGGGAGTGACATGACTAATAAATAGAAAGAAGATCGAAGGGGTGTTTCAAATGGATGACTGATATCGACTCCCTTGATCATGGATCGTTAATTGAGTATTTAAGTGTCTTAATGATTTATAATTTTATGATATTAGGCTTGTTAGATTTGTCTCATCGAGCTGCTCAATTTGATTATAAGCATGCCACTTTTGGAAATCCGAAATCATTTGGGTGTCCAATTTATGGTTCGAAGCTTCCAATTGTGCTTCAGGTCCATGATTTGGACTCATTTGAGCTTGGATTGGGACGAAATTGGTGTCTTTGGGTCCTTTTCTTGAGACGTTCAGTTTGAATATATGTTTATTAAAATTAAAGTTTAGGTGGCCCTATATTTAATTTAGGAAGTTTCCCATGCAATTTTGCTTGTAATCATCAATTATTATCAATGAAATATACAGTCAAACAAAAAAACCCATAAGTATTGATTGAAGTCGAATGATATAAAGTCAAGCAAACTCTAATAGTACATCTACTCAAGGTTGATTGAATGTTGGCTTTCTCCCTATTGTACATCATCTTACAATCACTTTTAGCTGTGTTTCTAGACATTACTTATAGATTTGGGTTGAGAAAATGAAGTAATACACGTACACAAACCCATTTAACATACTAAAATAGTAGACAATGCATGATAATAGCAGCAGTGAATAAACCACATAACTCTTTATGGTAAAACTTCAAGTTGGTTAAGGAAATAGGTAATTTAGAACTTAACTGTAAACTTTACTGACCTATATCACAAGTACTTGTCTTCTTACATACTTACAAATGATATTAAAGTTACCAGTCCCATTCTTACTATCACACCAGTAAGTTGCACCACATTTTGGCTTTTACATATTTGTTTACCAACAACAGGTAGATGCAACCTCAGAATGACCCCTTATAGAGGAAGTCATCCTAATTATTTTCTTAAGAACATTTTCTTTAACATCATCATCACAAATATCAACATCATCAACTTAATTAGCATCTACTTCAACTTCAACATCATCAATTAGAAGATGAGGTTAAAAAACATGAATCATAACAACTTCCATATCCATCAATAATAGAACGACAAAATAGTAAAAAAAGCCTAAGTAGGCAAAGAGATTAAAGACAGAAATAAATGTAATATTTTGGGCCCATGAACTTCCACTGAGTTGTTGCCTTTATACACCGAAAACTACTGCAGAATCGATGTGTGAAATTGAGCAATACGCCCAGAACAAAGAGGGAAAAAATGATGTCTATAAGAGAATGATAAAGAATTGAGAATGAAGTAAACAAAATAAACATCAAAGATGAATAAGTTATATGGCCTTTTATTAAAATCAAACCAGCGAAGTGGCGAACCCAACCCACCAAGATGCAAGTCATCAACTCAGACACGTGGGTTGACGGGTTAACATTGAGTTTTCG